GCTCCATTGCCCCCGTCCTCACCATCATCCCTTTTCTTCCTCTATGCAGTGAATCTTGCTGACTTCAGGGATACAGAAGGTTCCAGAGTTAGGAGGTAGAATCTTCTCTTAAGAGGTAAGTAACCACACAGTAGGGATAGTAAGAGCTATTCAAATCCTGAGAAGAGATTGGTAGGTAAATGGAGGGGTAAAAAGGCTGAGAAGAGCTAAGGGGAGAGACAGGAGGTTTCTATGGGGGTCTTTCCCATGCCAATGGTCTCTAAGAATTCGGGGAATGAGTTGGCATGTGGAGCCTAGGGGAGAGGAAGTGGCAGGTGGTAAGGGGACTGACTCCCTTGTGAACTTCACTCTTCTCCTTCTTCTCTTAGCTTCCCCTGCCCAGAGACTTTACTTGTGTACTCCAGTCTACAAAGTCTTCCTGAATTGCTAAACCTCCATAATCTAAATTCTGCACATTTATTGGAGAAGTCATGAACACTTCCCAGCATGTTTGAGGACCTCTCTGTGTTAGTGCGCATGGGTACTCCCTTCTCCTCTGTCCCTGGGTGAACCATCCATGTTCCCAGCAAGGGGTGCGCCTCCCCTGTGCTCCACCCACCCTGTCTCACCCACACAAGGACATCACTCCAGCATTTTTCTCTTGTCTCTCCTGTAGCACCATATTTTCCTCTGTACTGGATTATTCACATTAGCATTCAGAAAGGCTGTCATTTCTCTTCTCCTTCCAGATGCTGCCTTTTCCCCAGTTCTTTCCTCCAAAGAATTAGCCATGCACACTGTCTCCAATTTCTTTCCTCCCATTTTCTTTTGAACCCATCCTGATCAGAATTTTGCCTCTCCCGTTCTATAGACGCTGCTTTTATCGAATTCACTAGCAACCCCCACATCTCTAAATCCAGAGGTCCATTTTTGTTCCAGTTGACACAGTTGACAACTGATCAATTTCTCCTCCTTGTAACATTTCCTCTCTTGGGTTCCAGGACAACACCACTCTCCTGATTTTCCTCCTTCTCTAGCCAGTCCTTTTCAGTCTTCTTTTCTGGTTCTTCCTCATCTCACCAAGTTCTTTTTTTTTTTTTTTTTTGAGAGAGAGAGAGTGACCGAGAGACAGCATGAGAGGAGGGAGGGTCAGAGGGAGAAGCAGACTCCCCGCCGAGCAGGGAGCCCGATGCGGGACTCGATCCCGGGACTCCAGGATCATGACCTGAGCCGAAGGCAGTCGCTTAACCAACCGAGCCACCCAGGCGCCCCTCATCTCACCAAGTTCTTAATGTTGGAGTGCCTCCCAGCTCAGTGCTTGAATTTCTCTATCCCTGCTTGCTTGCTAGGTATTGTCTCACAGTCTGTGAGAGACTTTTAACATCATCTGTGTGGTGATGACACTACACTTATGCCTCTAGTACTGACCTCTCTCTTCCACATTACAGGGTCTTATATCCAGTTGTCTACCTATCATCTCTGCTTGGTTGTCTGATATGCATCTCAGACTTAGCACATCCAAAAAGGGAGCTCCTAAAGCTTCTGTAATCAAGGCAGTGTCTACTGGTATAAGGATGGATGGACAGTAAATCATGGAATGGAATCGAGATCTTAGAAATAGACCCAACTTTGTGGTTGGTTGATTTTCAACAAAGGTATTAAAGCACTCCAGTTGGGGAAAGGGAAGTCTTTGGGGTTAAAAGAATTATGACTGGGGAATAAGTTGAAGGAGCCCCTTGAAAGAAATCAAATGGTAGCTAAATGGAGCTACTCTTATGATGGTGACTAATGCTTGCACCTCCCTTGGTATACACCAGGCTGGGTGTTTAGCACTTCCTTTGAATTATTTCATTTAATTTTTACAACAGTCTTACAACTAAGACCTTCAGATGAGAAAACTGAGGCACAAAAGTCAAGAAACTTTCTGTTATGACTTGTGAGCATGTTTTCCCAGGCAATTATAGATGAACAATGCTGTGGGAAAACAGTATAATAATTTGTCCACTGCATCTGGCCAGACTCATGGTGACGGCTGATTTGAACTGTAGTGCTAAAGAGCACAGAGCCCCTGGCTTCTGTCTCTGAGATTCAGCTTCAGGTCCTCCAGTGGCCACTCTGACCACCCATTTAGTTTACTAAAACATTAGGTCCCACCTTGTTCACTTTTATAACAACCTTCCTCCTCTTACCCCCCAGCACAGGTTCCCAGGCTGAATGGCACCTTCTGGGAAAATGAAAAGAGAAGAGACCTCAGGAAGATGGTATGTTTGGCCCTTTGTTCTGTGCAGCGCCATGAGCACTGGAAGGCAGAATTGTATAGGTTTCCAGAGAGCAGAGTTGGGCAGGTGGGGATTTGATCCCAGGCCCCACCACTGGCCAGCTGTGGGAGCCTGCCTTTAGCCTCTCTTCTCTGTAAATTGAGTGTAAGATATTTCTTGATGTGAACTTATTTTGAAGTAATATATATATATATACACACACACACACACACACACACACACATATATACACACATAGAACAGAGCACAGATTATAATTGTACAGCTTGACAAATTTCCACAAAGTGGCACACTTTGGCACTTACTTAACAAAACTCCAGAAGCCCCTTCCAATCCAGTCTCCTGCTAGGCACTACCTCACCCCACACTCAAAAGTAATCCCCATCCCAATTTCTAATTGTATTTTTAACTGGTTTTGAACTTTATATAAATGAAAAAATATGTAAAATATATCTTTTTAAGACATACAAATGGCTAACAGACACAAGAAAAAATGTTCATCATCATTAGCCATCAGGGAAATTCAAATCAAAACCACATTGAGATACCACCTTACACCAGTTAGAATGGCAAGAATTGACAAGTCAAAAAACAACAAATGTTGGAGAGGTTGTGGAGAAAGGGGAACACTCTTACACTGTTGGGGAATGCAAGTTGGTACAGCCACTCTGGAAAACAGTATGGAGGTTCCTCAAAAAGTTAAAAATAGAGGTACCCTATGACCCAGCAATTGCACTACTGGGTATTTACCCCAAAGATACAGATGTAGTGAAAGAAGGGCCACTTCTTTGTTCAGTGTTCCCCAATGTTGATAGCAGCAATGTCCACAATAGCCAAACTGTGGAAAGAGCCGAGATGCCCTTCAACAGATGAATGGATAAAGAAGATGTGGTCCATATATACAATGGAATATCACTCAGCCATCAGAAAGGATGAATACCCAACTTTTAAGTCAACATGGATGGAACTGGAGGAGATTATGCTAAGTGAAGTAAGTCAAGTAGAGAAAGTCAATTATCATATGGTTTCAGTTATTTGTGGAACATAAGGAATAGCATGGAGGACCACAGTGGAAGGGAGGGGAAAAATGAAGGGGGGGGGAATCGGAGGGGGAGATGAACCATAGTCCCAGAGACTATGGACTCTGAGAAACAAACTGAGGGTTTTAGAGGGGAGGGGAGTGGGAGGATGGGTTAGCCTGGTGATGGGTATTAAGGAGGGCACGTACTACATGGAGCACTGGGTGTTATATGCCAATAATGAATCATGGAACACTACATCAAAATCTAATGATCTACTGTATGGTGACTAACATAACATAATAAAAAAAACCCTGAAAGTAAAAAAAAAAATGTATCTTTTTTTTTTTTTAAGATTTTATTTGATAGATTGAGAGAGAGAAAGAGCACAAGCATGGGGAGCAGCAGGCAGAGGGAGAAGCAGGCTCCCCGCTGAGCAGGGAGCCTGATGCAGGACTCCATCCCAGGACCCTGGGATCATGACCTGAGCCGAAGGCAGATGCTTAACTGACTTGAGCCACCCAGACACCCCTAGAATATATCTTTTGTGTTTGGTTTCTTTTGCTTATTTATTTATTTATTTATTTATTATGTTCAGTTAGCCAGCATATAGTACATCATAAGTTTTTATTGTAGTGTTCATCACTTGTGTATAACACCCAGTGCTCATCCCAACATGTACCCTCCTTAATACCCATCACCTGGTTACCCCATCCCCCTCTCCCCCTCCCTTCTGCAACCCTCAGTTTGTTTCCCAGAGTCCAGAGTCTCTCATGGTTTTTCTCCCTCTCTGATTTCTTCCTATTCAGTTTTCCCTCCCTTCCCCTGTGGTCCTCTGCTCTATTCTTTTGCTTATTGTCATGTTTTTGGGATTCATCTATGCCAGTGGGCATGGTAATAATTTTAAAATTCTCCTTCTGTAATAGTATTTCAGTGTGTAAACATACTACAACTTAGTGGCCCATTCTATTATTGGTGGGCATGTGGATTATTTCTTGTATTTGGCTTTTATAAATGAGGCAGCTCTGAAAATTTTTACACAGGTTTTTTGGTGGACAGAGACACAGTCATCTAGGAGTGAGATTGCTAGGTTATACTGTATGAATCTCTCTCAGCTTTCTAGAACTTGCCCAACATTTTAATTAACATTTTTAACTTTGCAGTGTAATGAGACTTAAATTAAGTTTGTGTAAAGCGCTCAGTGTGGTCTTTGGCAGATAGATACATCATACTCCATTAAGTTGAAGGGCCATAATGGACTTTAACGTTTCCTTATCCTTTGTTCATTTAGATCATTTTCATGGTCTTGTGATTTTATGTAATGTTACAAGTGAATGACTCTTGATAGATGTTTCTTTCTTTTGAAAAATTTGCTTTCGGTAAATTCTCCTGGTAAGTTCAACTGGATCAAAAGATATGTGACTATAAGGACTGTCACCCTTAAAAGGCCGCAGAGGGCCTATGGAGGTGGGTAAAATGAGGAAGCAGGCCTTTTATGCCATGGCTCAGGGGAGTGGGATATGAAGACAGGTGGTTTATGGCTTTCACAGAGGAGTGTCTTGTAGAGACAGGACTGTAGGGTAGGGTAGAATGGGGGATGAGGATTTTTATAAATGATGGTGTATTTCATAGCAACTCAATATTTAGTTCCTTAGAAGGTAAGCTGGGTAATTGGAGAAAAACAATGTATAACAACCATTAAATCAGGAAGAAGAGGGAAATCACAGGTGCAAAGAGTCACTTTATTTATTCATTTCCCCCCAAATATTATTAGCATGATTAAAGCCAAAGAGGGGGAGGCAGTAAGGTGGGGAGAAGGGCCTGCAACAGGGGTGGGTCTCTGATGGGGAAAGGGCCGGAGGCCTGACGGGGGGAGTCAGGGAGCCTGGGACTGAGGGGCAGGTGGGGGGCCTGCTAGGCCACACTCTGACACTCGCTTCTTTGGAAGCTCTTGACAAGGGTGGAGGACAGGCTTTTGTGAGTGACCTCGCAGGAGTACTTCTCATGACTTTGGTACTCTGTACTGGGCATCGTCAGGGTGCTGCTGAGGCTGTAGGTGCTGTCCTTGCTGTCCTGCTCTGTGACACTTTCCTGGATGCCTGTGTTTTGGAGAGCCCCATCCACTTTCCACTGGACTTTGACGTCTTTGGGATAGAAGCTATTCAGCATGCACACGACAGAGGCACTACCTGTGTGTATCTGGTCCAGAGATGGTGGGAACAAAGAGACGGATGGCTGGGCATCATTCCCTGATGAAGGAAGCACAGAGAATGGTCTCTAAGTAACAGGGAAGTTCTCCACTTAGGTATATTGTTTGTGGGCAGTCCCAGAGCCTGGAAGGGACAGACAGAGCAGCTTATCCTGTGTAGCAATGAGGGAGATATATCATCTCCACCATCTTGAGTTTTTCTCTAGCGCCTACCTCTTAAGAAAGTTTTAAATTGTTTCGTTTGAATCTTTGCAGCCATTTTAAGAACTTTTTGCTTTTCTGACCTCACCTTACTGCCTCCTGCAGTAAACACGAGTGGTTCACACAAAGACACAAAGACCATTTCATCTGAGCCCGAAGCGAGACCAGGTCTTGGCTCCCCGCCCCTCTTACACAAATCATTTCCCCCATGCCTCTCCCAGAACTGTGTGCAATGATAGCAGGCTGCCTCGTCCTTCCTGGGTTTTCTTTGAGTGTGTTAGGGCCAGACCCACCCTGTAGAGTGGCTCCAAGCCCTTGAGTCTGTGTCTGGGTTGGGGTGCAGCCCTGTCACCCTCTGTGATCAGGCCGGCAACTCCCACCTCTCACAAAGGCCTCGAAGGAAGACAGAGCCCTGGGCTGAAGGTTGTCATCATGTGGGATGATAACAGACCAGACCAGGAGGGCCAGCTGTAACTTTGGCCACCTGCCTACGAGGAACTGGCTAGCTTCGGTTCGGACCCTGAGCACCTGCCAGATGGCCTCCTGGAAATCCCCGCTGTGGGTATTCAGGTCCGCTGGTCAGAGGGCAAGAGTTACAGTAACACATCAAGAAGCCTTTGCTGGAAGAACACTGCAGATAAGTGAACAGGTTTTCATAAAGTGAACCTCCATTAACCAAGCAGTTCAACATAAGATACTGAACTTATTATATTTTGATATTTTTTTTCTCTTTGAACCTTCATTACTAATTTTTTTCAAAGAATTTTATAAAATAGCTTTGGCAGCAAAATAATAAGGATTCTAGAAAAAAAGGAGGGACATATTCTATAAAGATACTCCTATCTGGGTAAGTCCTTGACACCTTTAAAATATCCATCCTGCATTAAAATATTAAACAATTAGTACATTTGATATGGAAATTCTTATAAGACATTTTATTAGCTTTTAATGGAGTTTAAAATTTGTAAAAGAGTTTTTTAAAAGGCTCTAAGACAGTTTTAAAATAGTTTAAAACACTTACATAGTTTAAATAGCTCTAAAAGAGTTTTCAGAGTTTTAAAACAGCCCTAAAATAGTCCTATTTAATTGTTGCAGACCAAAAATAATCGTTCTTACACATCACTTTTGAAATCAGCTGAAGCAAACAACAAAAAATTACTAAACTATTTTAGAAGGTATGGGATTAAAATACCCAGATTAAAAATTTTCTATCACAGAAGGAAGGTATTGGTAAATACGCTGTTATTAAGTTTTTATTAATGGCCTCTGTCTATGATGAGATATTTTGTACAGCTGAACTATAATCCTCCCCAAGCCATTACATTTTTGAAAATCAAAAACATGTCACAAATTTATCTTTTCTCTAACGGTGTTTAATGTGAACTCAGTAGAAAGTTGATTGATCAAAACCAGAGTGGCCAGATGGCCTTAAATTAGATTTTCGCTGGTTGGGACTTTACCCTGAAGGAGTTACATATATTTCTTTCTTTTAGATTGCGCTTTTGTTATTTAAATACATTTGATAAGAGGAGATTGAAATGGTTTCATGTCATTGAAAAAAAAGTAGCTTTAAGTTTTTTATAAAAAATTTTTCATTAAGGGGATATACTAATGAATGTGAATTTTAGTTCTGAAATCTCCGATAAATCAGACTTCTCCCTGTTTTTTCCACATTAGCTCAGTGCCTGCCACATTTCTGTTCTTTTCTGTTAGCGCCATGACTTGTACCACTGTGTTGGAAAAGCCGCCACAGCAGAGTGGAACAGGCCGTGGCCTCTAGCTGTTAGGCGCACTGCCACATGGACTCTGTGGCCAGGTCACGAAAGTCATTCAGTCATAACGAAAGACCGCCATGAGGCCTACAGACCACGTAAGCCGTGCCGTGGCCTCTTTGGCGGTATAAAAAAATGGCCGAGTAATAACCAGGGAAATACAAGAACACACTCACTAAACTATTTAGTATTTTCCTACAAGTCCGTGGGCATTTAAAACATGCAATTATTTTATTTTGCTTCATTTAAACGAATTTCTTAAAAATGGAGGTTTTGGCGACAACCATCATCTTTTCACCATATATGATAAGAAATCATTTCACAGTCTAATGTAGAAATTGGATTTTTAAAAAGGCGGTATCTCTCAAGATATAGAATCTCTGTAGAATTTCTGAATATTGACAGTTTATCACTCATTTTAGACTCTAAAGATGACATTGCTGCTGGTTCTCAATTAAACTGTATCTTTTACACAGCAAACAAGTATACTTTTCTAACTTCTTACTGACTTTTCATGCATTCTATTGATTTAAATTGTTATAAAATAACTTATCAGAGGAGAGAAAGTAGACTAAGAAATTTGTCTTCTGTATCATACATAATGAGCAAAAATCAGTATAACATTTGGCAAAACTCAATAAAAATTAGTTTGCTTTTTCTCTTGAGCTCCAAAGTTTCTTTTTCATACTATACTAATTTTTTTCCTTTTGAATCTTGCAATTTAGATTAAATTAATCTTCTTGTCTACAAATCCATTTTTGTAGCTGAGTTTAACTTTGGAAATTGGTAATAAATGTGAAATAGTCTTATGTACTCATCTGCACAAAATTCAACCTTAAGCCTCTAAAAGTCAGTACTGGCATTTAGACCCAGATTTCAACAAGCAATAGAGAAAAATTACTTACGTTTAATCTCCAGACGTGTCCCTGGGCCAAAGGTGGCCCACTGTATTAGTTTAATTGCTTTCCCCTCAGCAAAAACCTCTATTTGCTGCTAAGCTCATTAGATTGACGGATACAGAGAAAATCTGGCAATTTAGATGCCATGTCAACTAACCAGCTCTTCGCTCTTCCTTGAGACAAACTGATTTTCAGTACCTTACTCATTTGATTTTCGGAAGAATCCCATTCTCTTCGGAATTGACCTCAACTCACATCCCACACATGAAAACCCCCAAATTTCACAACTCGACAAGAAAAAGGACTAGAAAAGTGTACTTACATTTGAGCTCCACCTTGGTCCCCTGGCTGAACGTGAGCCACAGTGAGGGCTCTGACACTTACTCCTTAACAAAAACCTTCTTCTAATGCCAATCATAGAAGAAAGGCCAATTCAGAGAAAAATCCAGCTACTCCTCTCCCATTCCCCCCGACAAAGCCTATTCTCATCACAAACTCAACAACTTGTTTGCTTAGCTGTAAAGTTGGCTGTTTTCTGCTATTCACTTTCGGGTCACCAGGAACGGCTCATTTTACCAAAATGTCACAAACTTGAACAAATGATACAACAGGACAAAAACCTCACAAAGAATTGAGCAAAAATGTACTTACGTTTGATCTCCAGTCTGGTCCCTTGGCTGAAAGTGAACCACAGTGATTTCCCTTAACCTCCATCTCTACAAAAACCCTCCCTGAAAAGGTAGCAAGCCTTTCTCTCCTGTTACCCTGTTTTGATTTGGAAATCTTAAAAATTAGCCCTCAGCTAGCCTCCAGTGGAACAATTTTCCCTTCTCTGTACCTAATCTGGGAATGAAATTTGTTTTATCCCTGACATGTAACTAATTAGAACACATGAAAAGGCAGGGGGGAGAAAAGCAGCAAACCACTTAGAAACAGTGAAGAATTGGTTGAAAAAAATACTTACGTTTTATTTCCAGCTTGGTCCCCTGGCCGAACGTGTACACACAGTAATTCCTCCTAACTTCCCTCCTATACAAAAACTTGAGTTTCCTTTTCTGACAATCGAGCAAGACTCTCCTTTATGCTTGCCAGTACATTTCTGAAACTATAACTTAGACGAGTTTATCTCACTCATTGACTGAATTTTGTTCTTCATGGAAAACGTGCAACCAATTTTCCAGTTTGTTTACAGATTTTATCTTTGTCCCAGAGGATGTCAGAGCCTGGTTTCAAAACATCTGCCTCTGTAGATCCCGTCACAGGCATGGGGACCATAAGACACAGACAACTGAGGAAGGACGGTTTGGATTTTACTCACATTTGATTTCCACCTTGGTTCCTGCGCCGAACGTACACCACAGTGACAGCTCCCCACTGTGTCACTGTACAAAAACCCTTCTCAGTGAAGGGGAACCAAGCCCTGGGTCGGCTGCTGAAGCTTCACTCTTTCCCCAGCAGGTATGCAAAGCCTAGGGCTTCCCTGACAGAGAATGTTTCCTTAGGTGAGATCTAAAATCCTGGAAGAGGATATATTTATTTATGTCTATGGCCTGATGGTCCCTTTCTTCAGCAATCTACCATATCTGGACTGTTTCTTATTGATTGATTGATTGATTGGAAAGTGGGCTGAATGGAAATTACAAAGAAAACAAACAAGTTTTAAAAATTGCACTCTTGGGCTCCTGGATGGCTCAGTCCTTAAGCGTCTGCCTTTGGCCCAGGTCATGATCCCAGGGTCCTGGGATCGAGCCCCGCATCGGGCTCCCTGCTCAGCGGGAATCCTGCTTCTCCGAACTCTTCCACTCCCCCTGCTTGTGTTCCCTCTCTTGCTGTGTCTCTCTCTGTCAAATAAATAAATAAAATCTTTAAAAAAAATAAAAATAAAAATTGCACTTTTTTATACTTTCTCCTGGGGGTGGGGGAGCTGTTGCAGATGATAAACCTCATTCAGTGTAATTATGGGATTCTAGTTTCTCTCAGTTAAGAATAATTAAAGAACATTTTCCTATTTGAACTTCTCCTCTGCCATGATGTTGTTTCAGAAAAGGTAGACTAAATGTATATCAGATCAAGGCCCATGTTTTACTTTGAAAGGTATTTTGGCATGAAGCTATAGATGACACAAGAAACTAGAAGATCAATAGAGATTTTATTTATTTAGAAAGACAGTGTGAGCCAGGTTGGGGCTGGGGAGAGGGGCAGAAGTGGAGGGGGATGGAGGACTTTGTGCTGAGCTAGGAGTGCAGAGCCTAGCATGGGGCTTGATCCCACGACCTCGAGACTCTGAGACCATGACCTGAGCTGAAATCAAGAGCCAGACACCCAACTGACTGAGCCACCCAGGCGCCCCTAAAACAAAGATCAATAGAGTAGAAAGTAGACTTTACTTAGTTGGTCATCTCTTGCCCACCATGTTCAATGAGCTGAACCAAGTGCATGCTGTCTTTGGAGCTGTCAGGGAATCATGGCATGCCATGGTGTTTCCACAATAACCCCATCAAGGACACTGAAGATCTCATTTTAAGTGCAGCTCCACTTACTGAAGTCTTGTTTCCCTCTTAACCTTCCATTCCCCCCGCTCAGCATATATTCCTCTCACCATCCTCAATTCCTTACAGCTCTTCTGTGGCTTCCAGCTCTTATAAAACTCTCTCTCTGGGGGCGCCTGGGTGTCTCAGTTGTTAAGCGTCTGCCTTCGGCTCAGGTCATGATCCCAGGGTCCTGGGATCGAGTCCCACATCGGGCTCCCTGCTCAGGCCTGCTTCTCCCTCTCCCACTCCCCCTGCTTGTGTTCCCTCTCTCGCTGTGTCTCTCTCTGTCAAATAAATAAATAAAATCTTAAAAAAAAAAAAAACACCAAAACTCTCTCTCTGCTCGGAAACACCTTTGCTCACCTGTGTTAGCTTGTGAACAATGAATTCTTTCAAAACTCAACTCCAGAGACCTTCTCTTGGATTATCCCCTAGCCAGTGACTCCACTTTGCAGAGCACAGACGCAGATCTAGAACGCCTAATTGTTCTTACTTGCTCTCAGATTCTTCCTACCCTACTGGATTGTAAATTGATGTTTCATTGTCTTGTATTTGGAAGGATCAGTCCTTATCTTTACTTGGCAAATGTTCAACAAACATTTACAGAATGAAGAAATAAAAAAACACCTAACAATGAATAGTTGAAAATCAAAAATGGACCAGAGCTAATAAGTTATAATAGATCAAGGACTAATACTGACCACTGCAATAGTAAGTTTTACAAGAGAAATCGTAGTAGGTGTCCTTGATTCTGTCACTGAGAGCTTTGCTATTGTCTCTAATAGCAAAATCAGCAGTGGATCTCCCCAGATATGAGGAAAGAGAGGAATCTTGGAGATAGAAAGAAGAGAGAAACTGGCAAGTGGACATTTAGTGTGCAAAATAGTTGACTGAAGACATAGTCAACATAGATCCTGAAGAGGATATAGTGATTTTCTCTGCAGAGATACAAGCAATACCAGTCATTGTACTTGACATTAATTGAGCACTTACAAAGTATCAGACATTGTACGTGAATCATCACATTTAATTATCCCCCAAAATCTAGGAACTAGAAGCTGATATTTTCCCTATACTGTAGATGAGGAAAGTTGCGTGCTGAGACTTAAGTAACTTCACCATAGCAGTGAGTGACAGAGCTGGGGTTGGAACTCAGAGCTCATGAGCTTCGTTGGCCCTGGGAGTAGAATCACCCAATGGAAGCAGCATGCATGGCAGAAAACTCTGGGGTGGGGGAAGGAAAAAGAAACTCCGTAGACTGTCCTAGGCTTGGAAATGAGTAGACGAGTGTGCTCAAATGTGTATACAAGACTGCTCATTGAAATGTTGTTTAAAAGTTGAAGAAATGGAAAATAACTGAAATCTTCATCAATGGGAATTTGGTTAAACTAATTATGTTAGAGCTTTGCAATGGAACACTAAGCAACCAATAAGAGGATGAAGTAGGTTTCTCTATGGTCACATGGAATGTGATCATGAAAATATAGGCCACGGAATGGTATATTTTGTATGATATTCTGATTCTATTGTAATGGATATATATGGATTGAAATACAGGGTAATTCCTGAAGGAAATACAATGAACTGTACACACTAATTATCTCCTGGGCTTACAGAGGTGTGTTATTTGGGAAGAGGAGAGCAGTGACACTTTCTCCCCTTTTGTATATTGTAGATTATCTGATTTTTAAAAATTAGGTGAATACATTAATTTTGTGGTTTTCAAGATCAATAAGACTACATCAGTTTTGTTAAAGAGTAAAGAATTCTCAGTATTTATGTACCATGTACAAATACAGTTTTAAATGATATACACACATGCATGAGTTTTCTTTGTCAATTAAACATTTTTCTATAATCTTTAGATTCAGAATGCAAAAAAGGTTGTTTTCCTGGTTCTGCATAGGAGATACTCTTACAATCATAGGAGATGTAGAGGTAATGTAGGGGCTGGAAAATGGGAATGATAAAGATGACATGGCATTATGTTCCTCATTGAATAATGTGAAATTGGGATCCAATATGAGGAGTACAACCAAATGATTGTACTAAGAGAGTATTTGCTACTAATAAAAAGTGCTTATAAGAACCATTGTGGCAATGGGGCGCCTTAAATGTCTGCTTTTGGCTCAGGTCATGATCCCAGGGTCCTGAGATGGAGCCCTGCATCGGGCTCCCTGCTCAGCGGGAAGCCTGCTTCTCCCTCTCCCACTCCCCCTGCTTGTGGTCCCTCTCTCACTGTGTCTCTCTCTCTCTCAAATAAATAAATAAAATCTTAAAAAAAAAAGAACCATTGTGGCAAAAACTATTTTATTGATCACATACAGTAGTGATCAATAAGAATGGCTGTGTTGATGTAACATAACATGGATCACTGAGAAATGGTTGAGATCCTTAATATGTGTATGGTTTATTATTTGAAGGCAAAGGTTGTCTTTGAAGCATCTGTGAAGTTCTGTTAGGATCTACTATTTACAAAATGTCCATGATGGGCCTTGATAATACTGATTTTACTGAGGAAAGGCAAAGTGCCAATACATAGTCTGAGAGGTTCTTGGATTTGTATATAAGAGTGATGGAAATAGAAATTTGTGTGAGCATTCCAACAAACTCATAATGAAGCTGTTTCCCATTTGGCCCCCAGCAAAGTTAGAATCTTAGAATAAATTCTAAACTGTGGAGGAGAGAGAGAGAGAGGAGGGAAGGAGAGAGGAGGAAGGAAACTTACCTGGCTCTGGAATATTTGTGTCTGATAATCCATCTTGAAGTCTGTGGTTCACTATTTTTTCTAGCTCATCAATCACAGTAGAGTCCAAGGTAGGTGATTCTCTTTACTTCGGCTTGACTCCTCCATAGGATTGTAATGGCTGTCATTTGTACTTGATTTAAGCTGATATCCCACAAGGTGAAGACAAAATTCTGGAGTCCACATTTAGTGGTGCCTAGAACTTGATCAATAGCCAGTCTTTCAGCTGGAGTGCCACAAACTGATATCTGTCCTGAATTCCTAAGGGGTAAAGCTGGCCGCATAGCTGAGAGGAAGGGAGACAGAGGAGGTCACTTGAGAAATTGCTGCTTCCTTGCGGCTTTGGAGCTGTGTCTGTTTCCACTCATCTCTGAAGAAAGAGGTGCTGAGAGAAGCAAAGTCCTTTGCCCAAACCTATGCACATGTTTGTGCCATAAACATGACCCAAGATTTTGGACCAGCTCTGGAAAATATAGATGCTCATCATGTTTCCAAGAAGACATTCAGGCTGCAGGTATTCTCTGACTATCTAGAGTGAAAGAGAAAACAGTAACAGTGCTGGGGTTTATTACCCTTGGAGAGGCTTAGCCACCCAGATTTACATATCAAGTGTTATGGTTTCTGGTTGGTTATACACAAGTGATGAGTCCCTTGAATTCTGCTCTGGAGTTCCCTGCCCCCCTTTGTTTGTCCCCTTGGCATCTAACCCTAGCCTTGTGTCCTCT